TACTTTATAATAATAATAATAAAATAATCTATATACTAATAACACTTTCAAGTAGTTTTGTTTTGCTTTTATGTAAACTTTTACAATTTTGACACATTTAACCCACTACAGAAATATTCTAGCATATAGGCCCATTACAGTAGATATACATGTCTTAAAGGGTCATGACACCCCCGACTTTCGGTTCAGGTCTACCTCAGAAATTGTTTAAAAGATGCATCATAATGGGCGTGGAGCTCCACGAGCAAAGGGCAGGAGTGGGAGTGAACAACTGTTGTCAGTTGGCTCACAAAATGAGACACAAACCACGAGGAGACGCATGACTTACTAGTTTACAAAGTTAATATACAAAAAAATTAAACAAATACACAGTAATTTAATGGCCTACTACATTTGTTACTCGTAATGTCATATACAGATACCCACAATTTATATCATTATAAAGATAATCGTGTTCAGATAAACACTATAAATAAGGAGTTTTCTTTCAATCCCCAGGTCTGAATCGCAGTTCTGAATGCAGACTCAGTGCAGCAGGTCTCTTGCCCTGTCTATTTTAACCATTAGCCCTGTTGGTAATCTGGAGGATTTAGACAAACACAGCAGCACGGCGATGTGTCTAAATTTGAACAAATTCCTGATAAAAGACAACGTCCACCATTCTCCAATTCTCGTACTGCTCTCCCGACAAAAATACTTGCTGCAGACAAACAGCTTTGCTGTATCGGCCCTGACAGCATCGCAGGAAAAAAACATACAAACAAAGCTGTGTCTCACAGCTTGGCACTGGCAGGTCAGTCTTGCCTTCGGAAAGCACATACCACTTTTCATTGGTCACCTATAGCTTTCATCATGAGCCACGGCTGCGTTCAAAATGGCATTTAAAAAAAAAAGAAAAAAAAAGACATTTAGAAAAAAAAATGGCATAATGATTTCAAAGTGCACTATGAAGGGAGTGCAATTGTCAATATGAAGATTGCTAAAACTAAACTGCAGAAAATATTTTGAAAGCAAATTAGACCTAACAGAGATGACTGAATTTTTTTAATCACTCCAAGATAAATGTTAAAACATTCTAAATGAAAAGGGCTTAAAGGGATAACTGGCAATAAAACACAACCAGGAACTCTATTATTTTTGCGATGCAGTTTGCAAACATTCATTGAAACGATGGTTTTGGAAAACACCAAATCAACAAACTTTGTTTGTAACTACAAAACTTGCAACCTTAGTTGGCTAACAATGTTTTTTGGAAATGCACCCCTGCTTGTTCAAAAATGTATTTCTTTTTTTTGCTGACACACAAGTTCTGTATTTTATGTTCAATGACATCTTATTTGTTTTATTCTACTGTATGTTTCCCTGCCTATGTTTGGTGGTCGTGGGCTCTAGTGTTTGAAATGAAGGACTAAAGGATGACCTTTTGTAGTCATACAAAATTTGTCAGTGGCTGACTTGATACACGTGAACGGGTCAGAGAACAGCATTCTGCTCCAGAAACGTTTATGATTGTACACAAGACCTCACCCCCTGCAATGAAAGACAGATGTGTATATTCAGCTATTTATGGAACTCAAGGTATATTGTGGGACATTTATTTTTTGACCTCTTTTTACCACTTTCTCCCTCAAATACCTTCTATAAGCTCAAGTACACATTCAGCGGTGGCTAATGCAGTAATACAACATAGGAGAGATTGATTTTACAGTGCTATAGTGAAAACACAAGCATACACACTCACACACATATAGCTGAAAAGCTATGTATAGTGCTTTCTATTCAAAACACACTCCTCTATACATATTCATGTGCACACATGAAGGACACTTTACACTGCTTTAGCACTTTTATTCTATGCCTCTCTCTCTCTCTTTCTCTCTCTCTCTCTCTCTCTCTCTTTTTTTTCTTTCTCTCTCTCTCTTGTCTCTCTATGGTCCAAATGCTTACACATTTCTCAATGCACACAGGATGTACAGCAATACACAAATATACACAAATAAATTTTGACACCCCTGCTAAATTGTCCGTAGTGTGTGAATGAGTGGAAGGGCATCTTCTGCGTAAAAACATGCTGGATAAGTTGGCGGTTTATTCCGCTGTGGTGACCCCAGATTAATAAAGGGAGTAAGCTGAAAAGAAAATTAATAAATGAATGAAGGAATGAGTATAAAAACCACTGCCTCCATGCCTTCTTCATCTCAAGGGGCTTTTCAGTTTATTCATGACAATCTGCATTTACATAATGTTTTCATAATTATTATTAGTATTATTTATTATATGCATATTTATATTTGTTTTAATAGAAACAAGTTTAGATTTGTTCACCTGTTGGTTTTGGAGACGTCTGCATCATCATATGGTGCATAGGAATAGGACGTTTGGATAATACAAATTTTTTTGACCACACTTCCTTATTATTGTTCATTTATTCATTTACTGGAAATTAGAACTGAATTTAGAAACAGTTTACGGTTTTGAAACAAATTGTTGCACTTAACAAACAAAATTAAATATGTAGACTAGTGGATGTCTTTAGTGGATTAAGTTTCCACTGTTATCCACGAAAGTAAAGGAGTAAAAGTTTAGCAAAGAGAAAGTACAAAGTCTGAATAGAGAAGGCTTGTTCTTTATCCGCGTGCTGCAGATGCTCTGTTCAACTGTTTTCTTGCTAGTGAAGCAATCAGTTTTTCCACTTACAAAGTACACCCTGTAAATAGCAAATGTGCCATGGTGCGACACAACTCACTATTAAAGGGAACGGGAGATAAGACTCAGATAGATTTAATACACGTTATGCACAAAACATACCCAAAACTCATTAATAGAATAAGCACAACCCTGTTAGACTATGCATCGCAGAGCATACTTTTCCTTCTTTAAAATAGCAAAAGTGGATTTGAACATGCCCTTAATGCTTTTGCGCCATGCGCTTTAGACCTCGTGTCTGGGTCATTAAAATAGAGCTTTTTGTCTATCTCTATTTCTCTATGTGTGTGTGTGTGTGTGTGTGTGTCATAAAGTGAAAAAGAAGTTGCATTAAAGTAGCATGCATTCTCTTACCATGCATTCTCTCACCATGCTAACATCAATGCAAGCATCCCATACTTCAATAGCCCACCACAAAACCTGCTTCAATTATTTTATTTATTCAAATTCTCAAAGCCTCTTCCCCTGAAATATCTTTTCCTCTCTTAAATACAAATTCATGCATAAATCCTCTCCAACATCTATATTTTTCATTTTCTCTCTTATTTATGAAGTGTTGGTCATTTTGTCTTGGGAAAAGCTCTCCTCTCCTGTCCTCTCATCTCCTCTCTCTTCTTTTCCTAAACCAAATGTGTCTCACCTTCCTCCATCAATTCTCTCTCTCTTATCCTGGAAATGTCCCTGCAGCAGCATTATATAAACAGAACAAGTTCATTAGCAGTTAGCTTGTAGCTGTGCAGGAACAGCAGGTTCTAATGAAGGAGGGCAGATCATGAAGAAATGAAAGATGTTTGCTGAGCATTTAACATTTTTTTTTGCACAGTGAACAATGTGTGAAAACTTTGATACATATTGCTCCAAAGTTGCTAAAATAGCTCGTTCCAAAATAAATTAAGTGCCAGTGTATGCTAGTGTGAGGCTGATCCAGAAGATGTGCAAACACCAACTAATAGTAGCTTGTAAAGCTGGTCAACTAAGGTCTCCTTAATTTAGGCAAAACATGAGCTGTTTTATGGTTGTTCATTAATGCAGCAGATAGTTTGATTTATTAAGGAATTACACAATCTTGTGACAATAAAAACTTAATCCTTAGATTGTATCTAGACAACACTACTTCCTATACCAAGCTTACTGTATATTTTGCTTGTATGAGTGGGCTTGGTCTTGTCATGTGTATCAAGAACCATTGCCTCAAGGGATATAGATATTTTTAAAAATGCCAAGAATGTGGGAACAAGCCAATAGTACTAATAAGGAAAACAAACTAAATAAACAGTAAGTGCCTTATCATAAACCTGGCACAACAAGGCACAGGGTGTGTATAGCACAATTTGTTGCTATTTTTAGACCAGTGCAACTGTCATTTACACTCTTTGCGCCACATTGTTAAAGTAGCAAATCCATTTGCAGACTCAGACTTTGTAGACTCATGGGTGTTTCAGTCTAAAAGTGTGTTAAGGAGCATTGTTGGCGCATTGCTATTTTGAGGAACTCAAATAGACTGCGCCACCAGTGACCAACTAAAAGCAGGTAGGAAATGCTGGTCCAAAACGCTTGCACAAAGGGTGTACAGCAATGCACAAACATTTTCGCAAATACAAAAAAAAAAAAAAAAAAAAAGAAATTATGAATAAAATATATAAATTTATTATTTTCTTCATAAATTGGGGGGGGGGGGGTGCTGGGTTCAGTTTATTCATGACAATTTGTATTTTGTATAATGTTTTTACTATTATAAGTAGTATTTATTATATGCACATTTATAATTATTTTTATAAAAACTAGTTTTGATTTGACCACATGAGGCATAAGAATAGTGTCACCATCCTGCAGTTTGTCTCCATTCCCCTAGAGGTCCCCGTGTTTCCCCTCTGTATTTGTTCTTCCTCATGTGTTCTTGTTTACTTAATTTAGATCACCTGTGACTTGTTCCAGCCAGTGTATTTAAGTTGTCACTTTGTCTGTGTTCCTCACTCGGTGTTTGAGTCATCTCTTGTGAACTTGCCTTGCGTTTCCCTTGATCTCCTGAGCTACGTCTAGTAAGAGTGTTTTATTTTCCTTGTTGCTGACTGCATTAATTATCTGTTTGTTTTCTCCCCTCGTGGAGTTTTCTTTACATGTTTATTATACTGTTAGAGTATTTTGTATACCTCATTCTGAGAAGAACCTAAGTTGTCTGTTTTGCTACCTCATTTTTGAGAAGAACCTAAGTTGATATTTTTTTTAATAAATCCTTGTTTTCTGGATTCCCTCTTGGAGTGTTTTCGTTTGGGTCCAACACAACTTCCTCTGTGGCTTAGTGGTATACACATCGGTTTCCACACCAGAGACCCGGGTTCAAGGCCCGGTCGTGACAGAAACACCGAGTCAGACATGGACCCAGAGGCACTCAGTACCAAAGATCTGTTGGCAGTGATTGGCAGTCATGAAGCTTCGTTCCAGCGTCATGAAGAGGTTCTCCGTCGTCAAGAGGAGGTGATGACAAAACACTCAGAGCTCCTTGCTGATGTCACGTCGTCCATTCGGCAACTCTTTCAAAGCCTTCCTGGGGTTTCTTCTCCTGTTTCTCCTGCTGCACCACCCCTAAGTACCAACAGTGCTCCAGTAGCTGCTGCAGAGCCCAGACTTCCACCCCCCAAGCCATTCTCAGGAGATCCTAGTTCCTGTCAGGGATTTCTCACCCAGTGCTCTCTCACTTTTGAGCTTCAGCCCTCAAGTTTTCCCACTGACCGCTCAAAGATCGCTTATATTATCACCCTTCTGACTGACAAGGCATTGTCTTGGGCCTCTGCGGCATGGGAGTCCCAGCCTAGTTATTGCCAGTCATACACAGCCTTTGAGAAGGAATTCAAGAAGGTGTTCAATCACCCAGTTAGTGGACAGGAGGCTTCCAAACGTCTCCTTACTCTCCGTCAAGGTCCTCGCAGCGCTGCAGACTTCGCCATTGAATTTCGAACTATTGCAGCAGGTAGTGGATGGAATGACGAGGCCTTAAGAGTCTGCTTTCTGGGTGGATTAGCTGAATCCATTCAAGATGAGATGGCCACCCGGGAACCAGCCAAAGACCTAGAATCCCTTATTGATATGGCCATTCGCCTTGATATTCGCTTGAGAGAACGGAGAATGACTCGAGGCAGAGCATCCCAGTCCCAAACTCCTGTTCACAAACCTGCATCTCCAGTTCATGCTCCACCAGTCAGACTTCCCCCAGTCAATGAACAAGCTCCCGAGCCTCCAGAAGATATGCAGCTAGGTCGTTCCAGACTCTCTCCCAGTGAAAGGGACAGACGGATGAGGGAGCGACGATGCCTTTACTGTGGTATGTCTGGTCATTTTCGATCCACTTGTCCAGAACTGTCGGGAAACGAGGGTCCCCACCGAGTTACAGGAGGACTGTGATGGGGAAAATAAGAGTTCCTCCTGCCAACACCGTTCTAGCTCTCAAAGCTTTTTTGTCCTGGGAGAGTCATCAGTTCCCGGTCCAGGCAATGATCGATTCAGGGGCCGCAGGTAATTTCATAGATCTCTCCTTGGCCAAGAAACTTAAGATTCCTACCCACCTTCTCCCTCATCCCCAGTCAGTAACTGCTTTGGATGGTAGACCCCTTGAACCCGGCAAAGTAACTGAGGCCACTCAGTCCCTGAAGCTTACCATTGCTAAACACCAGCAGGAGGAGACTTTCTACCTTATTGACTCTCCCGAGTATCCGGTCATTCTAGGTCATCCCTGGTTGCACAGACATAATCCCCATATCAACTGGTCTACTGGTTCCATTCTAGATTGGAGTCCTTCATGTCACTTCACCTGTTTTACCCAGAGCCTCTCTGCCCCTCATCCCGAGCCTCAAGATTCTGTAGATCTGTCTCAAGTTCCCGCTGTCTATCATAAGTTTAGGGCAGTATTCAGTAAGTCTCGAGCCACCTCTTTACCACCTCACCGCCCATACGACTGTGCAATTGACCTTCTCCCCGGTTCCTCCCCTCCTAGAGGCAGAGTCTTCTCCCTATCTCCCCCTGAACAGGCTGCTATGAATGCTTACATCCAAGAGTCCCTGGCAACTGGCATCATCCGAGCCTCCACTTCCCCTGCTGGTGCTGGCTTTTTCTTTGTGGGGAAGAAGGATGGGGGGCTTAGGCCTTGTATCGATTACCGAGGTCTTAACAAGATAACCATTCGGAATCGATATCCCCTGCCTCTTATGGCTACTGCCTTTGAGCTGCTGCAGGGAGCTTCCATTTTTACCAAGCTCGACCTTCGCAATGCCTACCATCTGGTGCGGATACGGCAAGGAGATGAATGGAAGACTGCTTTTAACACCCCCACAGGCCACTATGAATACCTAGTGATGCCTTTCGGTCTTACCAATGCCCCTGCCGTGTTCCAGGCACTTATCAACGACGTCCTCCGAGACATGTTAAATATATTTGTATTCGTTTATCTGGACGATATACTTATATTTTCCAAGTCCATGGAGGAGCACGAGGGCCATGTCAGCAGGGTTCTCCAAAGACTCCTTGAAAATCATCTCTTTGTCAAGCCAGAAAAATGTGAGTTTCATGTTTCCCTGACTAAGTTTCTTGGGTACATTGTCACCCCTGGTCACCTGGAGATGGACCCTAGTAAGATTAAAGCTGTTCTCAACTGGCCTATTCCAACCACAGTAAAAGAGGTGCAACGGTTTGTGGGCTTTGCAAACTTTTACAGAAAGTTTATCAGGAATTTCAGCTCAGTTGTGGCTCCCTTGACAGCACTGACAAAGGGAGGAGGAGTCAAGATTGAATGGGGCCCTAAAGCAGCGGCTGCCTTCCAGGATCTCAAGGATCGATTCACCTCAGCTCCCATACTCTCTATCCCTAATCCAGACATACCTTTTATGGTAGAGGTGGATGCCTCAGATGTGGGTGTAGGAGCCATTTTATCACAGAGGAATGAGGATGGAAAACTACACCCCTGTGCTTTCATGTCACGTCGCCTGTCTAATGCTGAGCGCAACTACCACGTGGGGGACCGAGAGCTGCTTGCTGTTAAGTTGGCCTTGGAAGAATGGCGCCATTGGCTTGAGGGCGCTCGACATCCTTTCCAGGTACTTACAGACCATAAGAACCTAGAATATCTCCAGCAGGCCAAGCAACTGAACCCTCGGCAGGCTCGATGGTCTCTGTTTTTCAACAGATTTCAGTTCATCCTGACTTATAGACCCGGTTCCAAGAACCTTAAGCCTGATGCCTTGTCCCGAGCCTACTCTCCAGAGACACATGAAAAACCTGTTTCTTCTATTATTCCTAGTTCAAGGATTGTTGCCCCCCTCAGATGGGATCTGGAACAAGTGGTCCGTAAGGCTCAAACCAAAGAACCTGATCCAGGGAATGGACCGTTGGGGGCTCTATATGTCCCTCGAGCAGTGCGAGCTCAGGTCTTGCAGTGGGGTCATGAGTCTGTATTGACCTGCCACCCAGGTAGTTCCCGTACTTTAGAATTCCTCCGACGTCGCTTTTGGTGGCCTTCCATAAAGGAAGATGTTAAAGGTTATGTGGAGGCCTGCCAAGTATGTTGTCAGGGAAAATCATCACACCAGCGACCTCAGGGACTGCTCCATCCCTTACCTGTTCCCCACAGGCCTTGGTCACACCTTTCCCTGGATTTCATTACAGGACTTCCACTCTCCCAGGGCAACACGGTCATATTGGTTGTGGTGGACCGATTTTCCAAGGCTGCCCGGTTCATTCCTCTGCCCAAGTTGCCATCGGCTAAAGAGACTGCTGAGCTCATAATAAGCCATGTTTTCAGAGTCTTTGGCATTCCCCAAGACATTGTTTCTGACCGAGGTCCACAATTTCTGTCCAGATTCTGGGGGGCTTTTTGCAGACTCTTCGGAACCACTGCCAGCCTATCATCCGGGTTCCATCCTGAGTCTAATGGTCAGACAGAACGAGTTAACCAAGATTTGGAAACCACTCTACGGTGCATGGCAGCCAATAACCCCACCACTTGGTCATCTTACATAATGTGGGCTGAATATGCCCACAACACCCTCAAGTCCTCAGCCACCGGACTTTCCCCTTTTGAATGCCAATTTGGTTATACCCCTCCATTGTTTCCTGAGAAAGAGGTCCAAGTGGGAGTTCCCTCAGCCCAGCACTTTGTTCGACGCTGTCGACGAACCTGGAGGAGAGCTAGAAGCGCTCTCCTTCGAACCTCCCTGAGATACCAACATCAGGCTAATCGCCGTCGTCGAAGGCCTCCTACTTTCCGGGTTGGCCAGAGAGTCTGGTTGGCCACTAAGAACCTTCCACTCCGGGTTGAGTCGAGAAAATTGTCCCAGAGGTTCATCGGGCCATTTAGAATAGCCAGGAAAGTTAACCCTGTTTCTTATCGTTTGTATCTTCCTCGTTCACTTAGAATTAATCCCACATTTCATGTCTCTTTATTAAAACCTGTCTTGTCTTCTCCCTTTGCCCCCCCTCGCAGACCCCCTCCACCTCCCAGGATCATTGACGGCCAGCCAGCCTACACGGTCCACCGGATACTGGACTCCAGGAGGGTCCAGAACTCACTTCAGTATCTGGTTGACTGGGAGGGCTACGGGCCAGAAGAGCGCTCCTGGATTCCTGCCAAAGACATCCTGGACCCTAGTTTAATCCGGGAGTTTCATACCCAGAGGCCAGGGTGTTCTGGTAGGAACGTCAGGAGCCGTTCCTAAAGGAGGGGGTCCTGTCACCATCCTGCAGTTTGTCTCCATTCCCCTAGAGGTCCCCGTGTTTCCCCTCTGTATTTGTTCTTCCTCATGTGTTCTTGTTTACTTAATTTAGATCACCTGTGACTTGTTCCAGCCAGTGTATTTAAGTTGTCACTTTGTCTGTGTTCCTCACTCGGTGTTTGAGTCATCTCTTGTGAACTTGCCTTGCGTTTCCCTTGATCTCCTGAGCTACGTCTAGTAAGAGTGTTTTATTTTCCTTGTTGCTGACTGCATTAATTATCTGTTTGTTTTCTCCCCTCGTGGAGTTTTCTTTACATGTTTATTATACTGTTAGAGTATTTTGTATACCTCATTCTGAGAAGAACCTAAGTTGTCTGTTTTGCTACCTCATTTTTGAGAAGAACCTAAGTTGATATTTTTTTTAATAAATCCTTGTTTTCTGGATTCCCTCTTGGAGTGTTTTCGTTTGGGTCCAACACAACTTCCTCTGTGGCTTAGTGGTATACACATCGGTTTCCACACCAGAGACCCGGGTTCAAGGCCCGGTCGTGACAAATAGGATGTCTGTTTGGAAGTTTGGACTTCATTATTATTGTTCATTTATTCCTATGCTGGAAATTTTAACTGAATTTAGAAATAGCTTTGAAACAAATCTTTGTGCTTAACAAAGTTAAAAATGTAGGCTAAAGGATGTCTTCGGGGAAGTACGTACAGCACCGTTTCCTCATTTCATGAAAGTAAAGGAATAAAGAGTAAAAGTAAAGTGAAAAGAAAGTAAACATGACATAATTCATTGAGAGAATAAGCTCAACCCTGCGCTAGGGTGCAGACCATATTTTTCCATCCTTAAAATAACAAAAGTGGATTTGGACATGCCCTTAATGCTTTTGCACCAACTTTAGACTTTATGCTTGAATCCTTAAAAAAGAAAAAAAAAATCTCTATGGCTTAGATAATGGACCATAAAATATCTTTAATTAGTTTAAATCCATGTAAAATCCTCATAACGGCTGATAAACAAACCTGCAGGCAATAAATAAAATGCAAGATGTGGTCTGACAAATACAAAGTTCATATTATAATGCTCATAATATCAAGCCTTTCCAGTGCATTAGTAGATCAGAATTTATATTCTGCTGACACACTGCTCTGAGACAGTGAACTCAAAAACAGAAGAACAGGAAATGAGGAGTAATATGAGAATGACCTGCTCAAAAAGATTCATATATGAAGGCAGACACAGACAGACGGATACAACAGGCAGACAAATTGGATGGGTGGATGGAAAGATGATGAAAGTTTGAAAAAAAAATAGAGAAAGTAACAGGCGTATGGAAGCATGGTTGGATAGATAATCAAAAGCCTAAATGGATCGATGCTGATGGTATGAATGTGCTGTGCTGAGCAGGTCATTGCTGGGTCATGGTTGAGTTAAAAAAAAAACTCAGTTCTGTCTGATTTACAAAACATACAAAAACATGTTTTCTTCTTTTTTTACTAGTTAGATTATACTTTCATTACACACCCTCATCATACAGCAACCGAAAAACACAATAGCAATGCCCTGCATCCATCCAGAATACCAGTCTAATGCACTGTCAATCACTAAGTATACCTAGCAAAGCATTAGCAATCACAGAACAACATCCACTCAAAACACCCTAGAAATGCACTATAAACCACTCAGAGCGCATTAGAATGGCTCTACCAACAACACAGTGTCTTAATAAACATTCAAAACATTATTGCAAATGCCACAAACAACAAAGCCATGCATTTTCAACATCTACAGTAGGACACTAAAGAAGTACCCTAGCAACAATGTAACATGATAACAATGTCTTTGCAAAATCTATCACACAACTATAGCAATGTCACTGCAAACATCCAAAAAGCCCTAGCATCCACAAATACACACTACCAATCCCTTTCTTACGATCTAAGAAAGTCTTCGCAACAGAACAGAACACTAAACTCTCAGAAATAAAGTTCGCGATCTGTCACTAGGGTAGTGTCTTTACAAAAAGTTAAAATATTGTAGCTAAAAGGTCTATATTATTACCTCAGGGTTACATATTAGTACCTAAAAAATACAAAAGTGTACCTCTTAAAAATTTTAGGTCTAATATATACTTTTGAGGTACCAATATGGACCCTTCAAGTACAAATGCATCTTTTAAAAAGGTACCACCCCAGTGACAGCTCGCGTACCTTTATTGCTGAGAGTGTATGCGATGCCTTTGCAAACAACCAGAATACACAAGCAACCACCAAAAAGACTGCAATGGCCTACCAACAGCAAAACAACTTAGCAATGCAATAGCAGCAACAGAATGCTATACCAAACACCAAAAAAATAAAAAATAAATAAATAAAAATCCTAGCATACTGTAGGAATGAGCAACCACAAAACACCTAGCAATGTTATTGTGTCCTGGCAAAGTCTTGTAACAGTAGTTGTGGTAACAGAACATTCCAGCATCCACCAAAAGCTCTTAAACACTCAAACTACCAAGAACAGCCTACCAATACCTTTTTAAAGAGTTAGTTCACCCATAAATTCTGTCACTAATTACTTTCCCTCAAGCCATTACGCTTCCCCACCCACCATTTTCAAGTCACATGGGATGTTTTGACATTGTTATTGCTTCTTTTCCCGTACTTTTAATGTCTCAGAACCATTCTGCCCTTTAAAGGCAAAAGACCTTAACACGCTAGAGTGTTGAATTGAGAAAAATGACCTCAAAGATTCTTTTTGTTGCCCTGACAAATTAGTTATAGATAGGACATTGGAAAATTGCCAATTACTTGTTTTAGTAAAAAAAAAAAATAAAAATAAATAAATAAATAATAAAAGAGCTCAAACTTGAACTTTGACCCCTATTTTGAAGTTACTGTCCTCTGCCTTTGTATTGTATGCAAAAAGTGAGAAGTCATGCAAAGGCAAAAAACAAAAACACCTGTAGTGTCTAGTAACCACACTATTATTTTGAATGATTGGCACTTACTTACAGCCATTTACTTATTGCTATCCTGCGCTTTGGTTGCATTTGCAAATTACATCTAAAATGTAATACATAATATATAAATAGTTTCTGTAATTTGAAAGAAATTGTTTACAGTATTACAATAGTAATTGTCTCTATATTGAAATATGTTACACTACTTTTGCATTAATTTTGAGTTATTTTTTATATCATAGGTATGACCTTGTTATCTAGACTGTATAACAGTAGTTCATAAACTTTTTAGAGTGGCATACTCCTTAACATCGTTTTGCATTCTCTCTACAACTGCAGTCGATTTTCCCATTAAGGAACAATATTTGCAATTTAAATGAAAAATTCCAATGAATTCTCTTTTAATGATTAATGTTTCAAATAAAATAATAAAAAGAAAAAAATATTAACTAAAACTGCAAGTTGGGCTTAAGACAATGATTTAGTAACAAAGCAACAGTTGCATTTATAAATAGGTCAATCAATCTTCTCTCACAACTCATTTAAACAAAAATTCATTCACAAAAATAACCCAGTCTAGCATAAAGAACAGCTGGACCAATGTGAATGACAGAAGGTTGGATTGATAATCAATATTCTTGTGAATCAAACATCTCTGTTGACAATAATTGCAGTGGATTTTATTTGATTGCAAGGAAAGGTAGGAAATGGTTCTAACTGCGAACTGAATTTTTATGTGTGACCATGCTAGTCATGACATTCTAGTCAACTTAGTACAACTAGTCAGAAGCCCTCAACTGCACCATTTTTAGTATTATGCATGATTTTGATCTCTTTTGAAAGGTGACAGTGTTCTGAAGATGGTAAGACATGAGCACGAGTAATCAATAACATAATTTTTATTTATTAGTGAACTAACCCCTTAAAAATGCCCTAGCAATCCTTCATATATCCTGAATACTTTATCAACCACTAACACCGGAGTCAGATGATGCAATTTTTATTGTAAGTTTCAAAAGTCACTATGTCAGATTATGAGATTTTTTTTCTTGATAAAATCTTGACTTGTCGTGGGTAACAATTGTGCCAGCATACATGTTCCTTCAGAATCAGTCATTCTGTGACGTCTACGATGAGTGTTATTTCCCAAAGCAGTCACAAGTGTTGCTATAACAATGTTTCTTATCTCAATTTAAATTTAAAAAAAATCTTATTTCTGTCTAAATAAACACTGATGCTGGTAGACAAGTAATAACTATGTTACTTAAGGGCATTCGTTACAACATGGACAGGATCTGACTTGTGATTTCATTTTTAGTATTAAGATATTTTCTTTGAAATCTAAATGTATATTTTCTTGCCAGGGTTGCTTATTAAACACCCACTCTCCTGAATTTGCTGCGAGTGAGACAGGGTAAATGAAAGCACATTTGCAACACCAGGGCCGGCTCGTGGCATAGGCAGTATAGGCAAATGCCAAGGGCGCTGTAGATCCAGGAGGGTGCCAGAAATAGAGGAAGAAAAAAAAAGTGTAACTTTCACTGTTCTTAAAACTAGTTGGTATTATGACTTATAAAATAATACGCCCACACTAATTTAACTGCATAGTGCAACGCCTACTAAGTAGTAGTAGTATTAAACAATGATAATATAGCCTAATCACCTAAGACACGCCCCATTCAAATAATAAGACCTTACCTGCTACACGGTGTTCTTTTTTTTTTGATTGGTCAACAAGCTCAACATGTCAAAATGCCCTAAACTGCCTGGTGCGCAGAGGAAGCAAAAAAAGAAAAAGAAGAGGAAGAAAAACACGACAAAGACAGAAGTAAAGATATGATAAAGATGATTATTTTGCTATATCCAAGCGATGATTGATAACGTCATTAACAATTAGCATGACACATACTGTCATCCTGTTTTTTCCCGATATCACGTTTAATTTTCCCATATTTCCCCGTATGTTTAATCTAAATATAAAAAGTGAAAGTACCTTCAATATAGAGCCGACCTTAAATTTGATAGAATTGTAAGAGCTGATCAAGATAATTGTGCTTTTAATTGATTTTGGCTTGAAAGCACATTAAAACAAATATTAAAACGTTTGCATTCACTTTCTTTTCATTAAAGCTGTGCGTTGATCATCGCAACCTCTGAATTCAGAGTATGCAATG